TGCCTTCACAGAGCGGAGGAACGGAGCGGAGATAAAGCGTTCACGGATGGATTCCATGCTAGGGCAGTATATGTACCTTGAAGTTGTTCAGTTATACTTATAGAGCTTTCAACTTGTACCAAAGTTTAAATATGACTAGTTACTTACAGCTCCTGAAAATCATTATGTATGGAAGCAAAGGGCAATTTCAATGAAGGTCTTGGTCCAGACATGGGCTGCTTTCTTAGTCAATGCAGCATAATTTAGTTTGTTGGCATCTGACACTGCTACTACTAAAGTGTTAGTGTTATGGGTTCTATAAATTTGGTAGTGCCCCCCCCCCATTGTAGTACTAGCAAATTGATCACATATACAGAGTAGAATATATATTATAATCTTAGGTCATGAAGTAATTGTAGGATTACAAGCAGATTACAACGTAATAAACATATTGACAATACATATTTAGTTTTGCTGTTGCTGTTTCAACATCGAGATCTGTAAAAATATCTGTGGGAGGGTTAAAAAAAACTTGACGTTTTATCATTTTCGCCGGTTCTGATTTGTTTAAATTATCTAAGATATTCTGCAGTTATATCCAAGAGACAAAAACTCTTCAAAGGCTTGGCAATTTTACGAGTTTCTTACCTCGAGAAGGACCGTCCTAAGTGGACAAGTTGGCAGGAAAAACGTGAATATCGAGCTACCGCGTGCATCTTTGCAGAGGTCTGTCTCTGTGGAGGTCACCCACATGGGCCTTTCGTAACAGCAAAACGCAACTATATTGTTGTCAAGGAATTCATGAAATATCATATTCCTGTCAAAACAGGTATTCCTCAAGTTTTAAAATAAATCGTTGATTTTTAAATTTTTGAATGAAAATATAATTTTCTTTTCTGAAGTTCTTAGATACTTTACTGCTTGTTGCGTTTTTCAGCGGTCAAGAGGAGCGGTAGAAGAGCCGTCCCATAAGCCAATGCGTTGACCTCTAACCTCCAGCTGGACCCGGAAGTGTCGTCTGCAACAAACGTGTGCAGCAAAGGTGGAAAGTCCACCTGGCCTGGACACCTTGTTTGAGAGACGCATCCACAAAGGCCACAACTGATCTTTGGAGCAGAGAGAACTGTTGACGTTTGACAAGCGAACATAGCGGACTTTCGCCTCTGACGATAGTGCAACAACTGCCCCTCCCCCTTTTTTACCGTACCGTGTAGCTGTAGCAAGTTACCTTCTTAACTTTGACCATGGCTACTATAACAGCTCTTAAGGCTTATGATCTCCGTTTCCCGACCTCTCTTGAGGCGCACGGCTCGGACGCCATGCACACGGACCCCGACTACTCGTGCGGGTACGTGGTCATCACCACCGATGCCGGCGACGGTCTGGAGGGCCACGGGCTCACCTTCACGTGTGGGCGGGGCACGGAGGTCGTGCTGGTCGCCATACAGTCTCTCTCCTTCCTTCTCGTCGGGAAGAAGCTAGAGGATATCTACGGCAACTTCTCCGGCTTCTGGCGCGCCCTGACCAGCGAGAGTCAGATGCGATGGATCGGGCCTGAGAAGGGAGTCATCCACCTGGCCACGGCGGCCATCGTGAACGCGCTGTGGGACCTGTGGGCTAAACGGGAGGGCAAGCCTCTGTGGAAGCTGCTGGTCGACATGGAGCCAGAGAAGCTCGTGTCCTGCATCGACTTCCGTTACATCAGTGACGTCCTTACCAAGGAAGAAGCTGTGGAAATGCTGAAGAAAAATCAGGTAAGGTCATGAATACCACCTGCACATTTAAAAATATTGTTTTTAATGTTGTCCTGAGTTAACATTGCGTTTTTCCGTCCATCTGAAGGAAGGTAAAGCGGACAGGGAGAAGGAGATGTTGGAGAAGGGTTACCCGGCTTACATCACGTCAGCCGGCTGGCTGGGGTACAGCGAGGACGAGATCCGCAGGAGGTGTCGGGAAGGACTGGCTCAGGGATGGACCCGCTTTAAGGTATCCGGTAGCCTCATTGTGTTCTAGATAGCTAATATATGTGCAAATCAATCTGGTCTCTTCTGTATTTATGATAAAGCAATACTCAATACCGAATAGTAGTCTGAATTAAGTAGATTCTGGGGAAGCTGTTAGTACCTGTATTTGGTTCTCCATCTCTTCACCTCAGTTTCACTGTTTACTTTTACAGGTCAAAGTTGGTGCTGACCTGGCTGATGACGTGCGTCGCTGTGGGCTGATCCGTGAGGAGATTGGCTGGGACAACACCATGATGGTGGACGCCAACCAACGCTGGGACGTCCAGGAGAGCATCGACCACATGAAACGTCTGGCCGAGTTCAAACCGCTCTGGATCGAGGAGCCCACGTCCCCCGACGACGCCCTGGGCCACGCAACCATCGCCAAGGCGCTCAACCCTCTGGGGATCGGCGTCGCCACGGGCGAGCAGTGTCAGAATCGCGTCATCTTCAAGCAGATGCTGCAGGCGGGCGGGCTGCAGTTCTGTCAGATCGACAGCTGTCGGATGGGCGGCGTGAACGAAGTCGTGTCCGTCATCCTGATGGCGGCGAAGTTCGGCGTCCCCGTCTGTCCCCACGCCGGCGGGGTGGGTCTCTGCCAGATGGTGCAGCACCTCGCCGTCTTCGACTACATCTCGGTCTCCGCCTCCCTGGACAACCGCGTGTGCGAGTTTGCCGACCACCTCCACGAGAACTTCAAGGAGGCCATCGTCATCAAGAATGCCAGCTACGTTCTGCCTAAAGCTGCGGGTTACTCCACTGAGATGAAGCCGGAATCTATCCGTGATTATCAGTACCCCAATGGGGCAGTGTGGCAGCAGTTGTTTAAGGAGGGCAAATTCACGGCTCCTTAGAGGCACTCTCAACATGCCATTTCAATGGATTTGATTGTTTTATACGTTTACATTCCTAAAAAAGGTCAGGAACATTGCAATGATTACTTGGAATGATTTACAGCAATGGCATGACTTCAGTACATTGATGAGAAGAACTGTACGAGTAACAATTTCCAACTTTGTGCCTTAATTGAGCACCTCTGCATACAAGTTATTGTCTTGTCAATTGTCCTTATGATTGCATTGCTACAGTGTATAATGTTTCTCTGAAAAGGATGCAATAAATTTGACTATACATGTACATGTATACTGATACATGATATGTTGGTACATTTGTATAACTTCATACAGTAAGACTATTAAAAATCATAATATGCTGAAGGTAAAAATCAGACTCAAGAAAAAGACATAAAGTAATAAGTCTGGCCAGTCCTTTGTTTAATGGATTTATAAATAATGTTAACCTTTGGTTTGAAAACAGCAAATACACGTCTCACTTAGTGCTGATTCTAAGATACTTCAGTACACTATGGACTAAGCTGGCATCATTCCAAATCAGCAATATGAACAAAAGGAACATGAATACAATACATCAGTTGAAAAGAAAGTAACTGTATTCATAGAGAGCTGATGCCAATAATTTTGTTTGTGAATATTGAGTTTGATAACAAAGCCAGTGTATATCCAACCACAATCTGTGTCTGGAACATTCTTGAAGTGTATTTACAATGGTCTTTAACTTAGGAATCATCCTGATGTTTCAAACTGCACCACAGAAAAAATCAACAGATATTCATGGTACTTTAAGCTTTGCAAAAATTAGTTGTTTTTTTTTAACTGTTCAATGTAAACTTTGTTTAATGTTTAGAAATGGGCTGCACATGATACAATGTATATCTGTGAGTACATTTTTGTGTAGACGATGTCAAATCTTCCTATTGAATATACTTTATCTACAAACCATATCAACACAAAACAACAATCAATACAAGGATTACAGTCCCCCCAACTAATAATACAGATTGGCCAACTTATTATCAATTTTTCCTTCAAAATGCATCTTCTTAGCTTTCTTCATGTACAAAACTTACAAGGTTTTTGCAGAGACTTATCTGCGATCTAACTGTTTTGTTGTGTGCTAGGAGGTAAGGGTTCCTTTTAAATACCACTGGCCACCTTTCACCATGCAGACCTCCTGGAAAAGAGTCAAACACAACGATTAAAATACCGGTATGTACAATGTGAGGCTAGGGAGTTTTAGAGTATACATGTACATTGGTTCAGCTAAGCACATTGTCAGAATGTACTGCGCTTGCGCAAAACCCTGTTTTTTTACAGTTTTAGTTGTTTTTTTGTAAATGTCACATCACAATTTTGCCCGTTGAAGACAATACTAGTATCTTTTCCTAGATAATTTTTAGAAACTACAGATGGGGTGATAACCTTAACCTATAACCTAAGTAATAGAAAACATCCTCACCCTGAGAACTTTTTCCATGTCGTGTTTGTTGGGTTCCTGACCGATAGCTTCTTGTACTTTGGAGGTGATGACGTTACGTCGGAGCTTGAAGGACTCGTTAAACATCTCTAACACGACCTCTCGAATCTGCACACGGAAAAATCAATTATTTTTCATAACAATACATCATCCTCATCATAACTTTTAAAAGGTTCTGTTATCAGTTGACATTCATCGTTCAGAATTCACATCCTACAGATAATAGCAACACATAAAATTACAATATCAAATATGCAGCTATTGGTATCTTTGGACATTGAACTGCAGGACTTCATTGTTATGATCACCAGATATCCTTCTTTGATCCAAAGTACAAAGTGTTCTTTACCAGGCATGGTAGATTTGCTGAATTGTCACAGACACTGATAATATTATAACAAGTAAACAAACCTTATCATACTTGTCTCCCACATGAGCCAGAGCAAAAATCTTCTGTTGATCTGGAGTAGCATCAGAATTTGGTGGCCACTGTTGGAAAAATACAACAACATATTTTCTTCAAACCAGCACTAAATACATCAAATCAAAATAAACTTAATATTTTGTTTCCAATTTAGAAACATAGTTGACATTACTACTACATGGACATTTAGACTGAAAATACAAGAACATACTGATACATTTGTATTATCAACCCTGCTATGTGATGACACGACAACTATTTTGATTTCAGCAGAAATCTGCTTCTTGCGAATATCTTTTAAATACAATGCACAGTGGCCAGGACTCACGGGTAACTGTATCTGCATGGCCCCCGCTTCAAACATGGACTGTTCCAGGAGTTTGTCGGACACGCCCTTTCCCAGGACGTCGCCGGGCGGACACTGTGACAACCGCAGCAGCAACAATCTCTTCATCTCACTCATGCTCAGCACCACATTACCCCTCAGCTTCTCACCACAAAACCTCACCACCTCTGTCCTTAGTTCATCCGACGGTTTACTACCAGAATTGTCAGCAGCAAGAGCAGAAGAAGCTCCCACAGGGAGCGCGAGTTCTCCATTCCCCAAATGGTTGTCCACACCACTGGAAATGTCCATAGGTTCTCCCTGGTCCGCAGATTCAGTCTTGGCAGCGGCAGGATTGGTTAGCGTGGCCGAGTGTTGTGCAGACGTGCTGGTTGGGTCGTTTTGTTGAGACCTGGATCGAGCACGCTGCCGTGCCACCTTCACTCTCTCCTGTCCAGAAACTATGACAGTTTCCTTTTCCTGGCCTAGAAAATAACAGACACAGCCTTAAATCTTTGATAGTAAAGAGTATGGGAATCTGACATTAATAGTTGACATTTCAATTCAAAGAACATTTGGCCCTAAACAATTTTGAACACATTCCAAAGAACACCTTATGTTAACTTTTTTGTAAACCATGTGTACTGCATGATGGTATATTATTCAACATCTAAAGAAACACATATGGTTAAAACAATAATCAACATACCCAAGAATACTATTTTTGCATTCTAAAATAATTGTCACTGTTATACGTATGTAATACATATGTAAGATACCATTACCTGGATGGGAGGACTCCTTGCCTTTCTTTGGGGTGTCACCTTTAGCCAGCTTCAACAACTTGGACAGCCTGTCAAAAAAAGCCCATCATGATCTCAGTTAACCTTGAAACATTTACTGCTTACTGCAAGGCAGCATTAAAATCTAATAAAACATTTATGTCTAGATGTGCCTTGCTTAACTATACTTGCTACACTATTAATCTTTATTGAACAATCCGAAGATGGACAAAAATCTGTTAACCTTCATTTTCATAATGACCAGCATATGCAAAGTGTGTAGAATGTTTGTCTTGCATTCGGTAGGTCGTGAGTTTGATGCCCATTCAAGTCATACCAAAGACTTTAAAACTGATACATACTAATTTCTATTTTTAGCACTTAGAACTTGGGAAAGAGTATGGTAGCTGAACACACACCACTACCACTGGACTAGCCCTGTGCTCTAGTGATTTGATTGCACAACTGTGTGGCTCAAGGGCTATTGAACCAGAGATGAGAGCAGTCATATAAAATAAAGGCTTACTACTACTACTACTACTACTACTACTACTACTACTACAGTAACTACTACTACTACTACATATCCACCATCTGGTGTAGGAAGGACTGTAACTACCCCTGTAACCAACTATCTAACCCATTGTTGTGACAGCTACATGAAAAACTCTAAAGACTATACTTGATCTTGTGCCATCTTGACTCACTGTGAATACTTGGCGTCCCACAGCATCTGTTGTCTCTGCACCACGTCTGGATACCTGTCCACAAAGTCCTGGTCATGTGGCAGGAGGAACTCCCAGCCTTTATTCACACGCACCACTGCCAGCTGCTCAAAAATCTCCTTCACATCTTCATGTGGCAGCTGCAGAGATTTACATCAACACAATAATATTTGTACCTCATCTCTGTATATACCAACCCTGATCCCTTCAGCTGACTTAGTAACTACATGTATGTACAAATAAATTGATCTCAATAGATCTTGATCATACCTTCCCATTCTGTTACATAATTCTACAGTCATAATTTTTCTGATTGTTACATGGCCTAGCCATTACTACTACCCTTCATCAAGATAAGCATACCAGTAAAAGACATGTTATAGAGAGATGAAGATTGTTGGGGTAATTAATTGTACACTAACCTTAATAATGGAAGTGACTTCCTTCCTCACAATGAACCTGAACTGGGTGAATCGCCACATCTAGAAAACACAGTACGGAAAAAAGGTTGTCACCCACACCACACTCCATGCCACTTATATTTTGAGATGGCTGTCAGAACGTTCTGTCACACTGAGATGTAAGCTAAGTATGTCATCATGTAAGCTATGTTGCCAGCCTGTATTGAAGCTCACTCCTTTACAATCTTTATTCTATGACATTTCAAAGTAAGCTAAACATTAGCAAATAGATGATTGGTGTATGTACCAATGTGAACACTTTCCCCCACTATTTCCATGCTGATCATCAGAAGAAGACCAGAGTGACTGGCCGAAAGCTCTAGGTGAGAGAATTTTTTTGTGTTGGATCGAAAGTTTGAACTCTAAACATGTAACTACCAACACAGATGAACTTTCATGATAGTATAAGAAAAAATTAGATTGGTATACTAGTAGTCTTAATGCTGAAAAATCTAACCACTGACCACATAGTCCCTTCCTCTGCACACCAGTTCAGCAGGGGTGCCACTGTGGGGGCTGCACGTGTCTTTTGGGTACAAGATGTCACTGATGTGGAGAAAGAAGGCAGTCAATTTTATACTACTGGAAATGGGCTATGGAACTTATGAAACAGCTAGGTGATGTAGTCATAGTCTACATGTAGTCATAGTGTCATGAATTTACAGCAAAAACTGTGAAAATAAAACCACTGCAAAAGTTTAAAGATTCACAATACTTTCAATACAGGCATACCTGAGATACTTAAACAATTTGTGAATAACTTTTTATCACATTGGATATGGCAATGGGAAGAGTAAGAAGTGACCCTCACCTCTTGACCACCCAGTTGCCCTGCACCAGCATGGCCACCTGCTGGACGGTCCGCAGGACAGCCGTGGGGTCCACTCCGCTGGTCAGCAGGGCCAGCAGCTGGGAGAAACTCATCATCTTGGCTGGAAGGAAGAGGGACACAAGTTTTCTTACTCTTCACTGCCTCATACACCTGGGGATATCATGGATCAGTATCCATCTAGTAACCCTGCTTCTGAATCACAAGGTTATGGGTTCGAATCCTGGCCAAGCTATTCCAGTTCTGAACTCAGGTTCCTGCCTTTAATTTATGGATAAGTTATAAGCCCCGTTTTCAAGGAGACAGACATCTTGAACATGTGAAAGAATTCAGCACATTTCTTAAAAGCACAGTGTGCATAATGGCACTAACATCTCCAGTTTTTAACCCAAAATGCCTTTGCATATACAGGTGTACTTGGAAAAGGTTCCCATGTGTACATGTGCATTTGACCTTATTAAGACTTACCATTGGTCATGAGAGCCTTGACCTGGTCCCCTAGACTCAGGTTCTTGAGCTGAGACAGAGACAGGACATTACTGGGCATGGCTGGCTTCTCACTGAGGAACAAAACAAAAGGTATATAATTTAGGAACAGTAAATTCCATCTTTTTTTTCTCCTTTCGACCTCTGTCTCCCTTCAAGTACCAAAAATCAGTATTCATATCATATCAATATTATAGTCATGCACGGATGGCATCTATATAATCAAGGCATTGTGGCCCTTTGTTAGTTTATAGAATCATCAGGTGTCAAGACACTAGCCATAACAAGCCATCAACTGACAGGATACAGTAATACAACTATAGTTGTAATAATACAGGAACATGAAAAATCAGCTAAAGCCTACCTGTTATCTTCAGAAGCCTCAGGAAGAAGCATGGATAAGTACTCCCTACAAAACACAGAAATAACTGTTACAATAAATGGTCATCACATCAATATATATGTCTATATATACTAGTAATTGTTAGTCCCGACTGTCCCATATACATATAATGTAGAATGATTGTAGATTCAGTTGTCAGATATATAATAAGAATCATAATCACAAATATCAACTTGCAAACTGTTAGGAAACATTGGTTCAAGATATTTTCCACTGGTAGCTTTATTTAGATTGAGAATCAAAAGAAAACCAAGAGTTCTTCACTCCACAAAGACACTTACTTGGGCGGTCTGGTTAAGTGGGATGCATCAAAGTCTGTAGCCCTACAGTACAGTAACTGTCTCTCCTTCTCAGCATATGGACCCTGTGGATTACATGGGCATGAGTCTATAGGATCCAGCATAACTAATATGGACAACTGAGCTTGTACATATAATGTTTAGAAAGGTTTATATAGATAAAAAAACAATAAAAACTGCTTTGTTAATTGCTGACCTAATGTCTAAGAAAAATTCAGGAAGCATAGAAATATCAGTGTTGCTATAATATTATATTTTCCAACTTATAACAATACAGATGGGGTGAGAGACAGTACTGACCTTGGCACCATGTACAGTACAGCCGACCCACTGTTCATCAGCCAGCTGCTGCTCAAGATACTGGTAGGACGCCATTCTACGGGCCTTTGTCTCATCTGTCTCCGGACGGGCAAAACGCACCTGAAGAAACAAAAAACAAAAACATAGGATGCCTACAGATGTCATCTAACATTAACTTTGCTTAGATCTCAGAAGAGCTAAGTTTACTAGGTTCAGCAATTCATACATATGGAAATACTAGTAAAACAAAACTTGTCATACTCTAATGTTGTTACAAAAAGGATCCTGAAAGGCTCAGTTAAGTATAGATTATTACAGTTAAGAGATTTAATTTGGATGCTGAATTTACCGTGACAGCTCTGGGATTGTCCTCTTCCTCATCTTGGGAAGACTCACCTAAGAGAAAAAGGAAGACAAAACACTATTTAGAATATCTGGAGGACATGCTGCCAATGCGCATGGTGAATGGAAATGTGTATGGTACTGAAATACATGATTAAAAGCATGTATGTAGTTAGTACCAGCATCAGCAGCAGCAGCAGCCTCCTTCATCCGCATGTCTGCCTTGTCCAGGTAGGTGTAGGATGGCTTCATCTGGACTGTTCCATGGACAGGTGTCAAGTGTAACTCACCTGTAGAGCAAAGGGAAGACATCAAAAAAACTGTGACTGTGAGTTACACAGTGTGCAAGACCTGTACCAAAGCAAGAAGAACTAGTAGTAGAAGGTGCCAAATAGCATTACCATTGAGGCATTGACACTTCTCAATTACAGTAACTTTCTCCCTGCTGCCTAAGTCTCATATCCTATAGAGAAGTAGAACCCAAATAGCTACTTCAGTGTGCTAAAGGTTAAAGAACTAAAAAGATGGACAAAAAACAACCCAAACATCTGTTCTGTTGGGCTGAGTCAAGTGACCAACTTAACACTGTAATTGGTTGAGCAGATTATTACATGGCTACTGTAGGTCCTGGCTGTGCAAACCAGTAAAAACTGTCACTCACCATCTCTGACCATGCCCACAGCGTAATAGGAGGCAGGATTGGGGACTGTGGTTGAAGTGAGGACCTGTTTATCCATCACACCACTGGAACACAACAAAGCAACCCTGTCAGTTTGGACTTCTATTGAATTCTCACACACAGATACACAAATCAAGCCACAAAAATTTAACTTACGGTACCACATGGACGCCTTTGTCTGTAGACACCATGTCTGAAATAAAACTAGCAGCATAGCAAGATAGTGCACTAGTATATGAAAACTCTTTATGGAAGTTTTTTGTTGAGTGGCACTGGTGTCAGTTTGTACGTTCGGTTGGTCAGGCACTGCAGTTGGACAGATGAGGTGATTGTAATACAGCACAGTGTCAGCAACTATGGTTGCATAGAGGGTGAGGGTTGTTACATCATACCTTCCTCTCACTGTTCCAATACTTTTAGAAAAAAAATTCACGGGAGTCTGAAATCTCTGGTTTCTTGTCGGGAGCTTCATGATCATACCTTCCAAAATGTGAGGCCTCCTGTCCCTTGCCATCCACATTCAGTGCTATCTGTTCCCCTTTACTCCAGGCATACTGACGACTCTGAGTATCAATCCCAACTTCCAACTCAACCTGGAGGGCACAAGAGAAACACATTCAAACAACCTCAAATTGAACTAGTGCTGTGTACCTAAACCCACATTTAGGTTCAGGTCTGGATTCAAGTCCAGAGGTTTAGGTTCAGTTCCGGACTCGTAAATCCAGACCTAAACCAATGGCATATACAAAATTGCATGTTGGCAACCTTGCAATATTGTTTGGGCAAAACTTTGGCCACATAACATTGAGGACGACACCTGACGATGCCCAATGGGAATGTTTTCTTAATTTTGCAGCACAAATTTTGCAGTCTATGGAATGTTTTAGGTGGTTTGAAAAGGAAAGGGTATGTGACATGTTTTTTTGTTGTTGTTGTAATAAGTCCGGAATCGGTTCTTGACATTTAGTTTTTTTTGGACTCAACCTAAACATTTTTACAAGTCTGTAACGGATCCAGCGAACCGGTACACAGCACTGACCTCAACCAACAGTAGAAAATGAAGTCACCTGTCAATTTAACTGAAATCAATCTTGCTGAAAATGAGTAGACGAACCTTCTGGTGTCGAGGCTTGAAGCGCGCTGCCTGGACCTTGGAAGGGTCATGGATGATCCCTGCTGGCCGTAGGGGGTACTGCAGTAAGAGATGGAGCAAAATTGTGGTCCAATGGTCTCATTTACTCGCTACAGCAGAGAAAGTACAATGAAACAGTTGCTACTGAAAAGACATACAGAGTGAGACCCTACAAAACTATAAAAAGACAGTTGAATTTTAAAAAATTTCTTACCTGAAAAAGGTACAAGTTCTCTGCAAGCCCTTTTGCAAGGAAGACATCAACCTTTAAGAACAAAACAAGGCTTATCAGTCAACTGTAACGTTATACAGAAACCTACAAATTATGATGATCAGCTAAGAGGGGAAGTCAACAGGAGCGGCCTCAACTGGACTGACATCCTACCTGGTCGTAGATGCTATGCTATGCTATGGTATGCTACAGAATCTGGCACAGTTGTAACAGTCCCCAACTGTTACACAGTTGCAACATGCGACATGCTGGTTACCATGTGCAACAACTAACGTTACCACTACGCCAGGCATGAAGGCCAACGATATATTGTGTTTTTACGCTAATATTATAACGTTATACAATTTCAAGATATCATACTGGGATTTTGTGATGGTTACTGTTTATATGAAGTACTTAAAAATGTTGAATTTGTAGCGCACGTACCTCATCAACTACCGGGTCGTCGTCTTCCGCCATGCTACAGTGTCAAAGTTCAGGGTGCAGTCCCGACGAAATGAGATAGGTGACGCTGTTCGTCTTGATCTTGAAGTGTGGACTGGGGACTGTCCTGAATGCATAAAATTATGGGAAAAAGAAAGTAGAAAGGCCTTAAAGGCGATGTTGAAGCTGCGGTGAGTAAATCACAAATGGATAAAATGATAGTGAATATTGTAAAAACAGCCAGAAGGAGCAAAAAGATCTTGGCAGCGGTGGGATTCGAACCCACGCCATCGAAATGACTGGTGCCTTAAACCAGCGCCTTAGACCGCTCGGCCACGCTACCATTTCATGCCACGAGAGGCGTCCAGCTAAACCTTGAAACATTCTCCGGCAAATAACACACAATCCGCTCACCTGTGGCCCGTAAATCAGATTTAACCGATTCCTGCAGGTTCCTGGACACAAACCGATGGAGCCGACACCCCATCAAACTACAAATTCTTCGGATTACAGCGATAATTTGCAAATCATCTGTGGCTGATGTGCACGCTCGTATCAAAGATGGCGGCACCCTGCTGCAAGTGTGGCCAAGACCCCATATCTCCATTTTATCCGATTTCAATTTTGAAATCAGACTACCTCAAATATATCTCAATAAGATAGATTTCTTTTTCACTGAAGAAAATATTTCTTAACCATACTTACGTGCATGATAATCATATAAGAGGGATTTCTGAATGGATTCACGACCACACGTAGGCTACAAATTTGAGGGGTTATGTGGTCTTTCTCAATATGAAAGGTCGGAGGTCGGTGAAAGTGCCCTTGCCGTCTAGGTTTGTGTCTACTCATCCCCCCCAAAAATGCTCCGTAGAACTTGTTGTGCGCTGTTCAGACTACGTAATGGTTCTTGTCGGGTTCCTCATATATCTAGGAGTTCCACGTACAAGAGTGTCTACAGTTTGGACAGACTATATCCTGACAGCGACCCCTCAACTTTCATGAAAGTTCCCGAGGTGAGCCCCTTCTCTTCTCACGCATAGATTTACGAGTAAATATGACAAATTTGTTTCATATATTACAGAAGATCAAGAAAAATTAAGCCTAAATAGACAGGACAATAACAACAAATTATGTTACTTAGGTGTTTTTCTTCATTTTCATTAGCTATCATTATTCGTGGTATTACGTTATTACATGTAGTGGACCAGGATATGCGGGGAAACCTTATATAAGTTATAGTGTACTTGAACTATATTTCTATATTTCCATCCTATAGGGTGCTTACAGTACACGCAGTAACCCTGACAAGTTTGATGGACACATCCCTGTAGGTGAGAAGTCTTCTATTAATTTTTCAGATTCAATATTTCTGTTGGTATAAAAAATACAAAAATATGTGAGTTAACGTCACAAACGTTTTGGTTACAAACTTTTGTTTGATATAATGTTGTTGTATTAGCAACTGTGTAACAGTATGTTCTGTTTTATTTTTTTCAGACAAATTAAAAATTTCATACAGCAGAAGTAGTGGAGCTGGAGGACAACATGTGAACAAAGGTACAGTTTCTTTATTGGAAATTGGTCTTTATAAATATTTTTCATAATCATACACTTAAATTCACTTCTGAAAATATTCCTTAGGTTTACAACTGTCTATCTTTTGTGGCATGTTGACTATAGCCAATTGTTGTCTTTGTTTCAGTGAACACGAAGGTGGACGTGAGATTCCATGTGGAGAGTGCTGATTGGCTTCCTGAAGATGTCAGACAGAAACTTACAGCAGTGGTACGGTACTCCTATCTCTACACTCAGTCAAGAACAAAACATCAAATCAAACTACCAACACAGATGAACTTTCATGATGGTATAAGAAATCAAAGATTTCACACCTATGCATGTGACATACTAGTATTTAGACTTCTGTCTGTTTTTATGCTTCTTCCACGTAACTTCCTCTTAGCCTGTAGCTAGTGTAGGAGACAATTCTGTCTTCCAATTTGACCTTGATTTCTCCCAGTCTGTGGGAAGACCTTTAACCTCCAATTCTACCTCCTGTCAGGCTATTTCTCCCCTCACTTCCAATGACCCTGTCTTCAAACAACTTCAAACAACCACAAACAAATACTGAAAACAAAACCTCCAGACATTGACGTATAAATATTATCTTCTTGTCTTGAGCAATGCATTACCAAAAAATACTATGCAGGCCATGTAGTCTCTGTATAGAATACAGAAGTCAATATCCTTAAAACTAAATGACTTGCAGTGGTGGTGTTGTGACATTGTGGTGTTATCAGTAATAGATGGGTCATAGATGTTTCTTGTTGCAGCAAAAGAGTCGCATCAACAAAGAAGGGGAGCTGATCATCAAGTCTGAGGTGAGCCGATTCCAGATGCGCAACTTGGCCGACGCCCTGAAGAAACTGAGGGAGATGATCGAGGAAGTAAACAAGAAACCTCAAGAACCCAGTAAAGAGGACAGGAATCTGTGGAGACTCAGGTAGATTTCCATCTCTAGTTAGCTGTTATTTTCTTAAGATGAGGCCTTTTTTTAAAGAAAAACAAAAGCTTCTATTTGTTTTGTATTTCTTGTGTTTCTTGTGTCTCTCAGCAGTTTGAGAAAATGTCATTCCTAACAAACTCCTAACTGTTATTATTGTTTTAATTATCTTGATTTACCAGTACCAAGGACATTATACACAGATAATGTCCTTGCTAGTACACAAAATGTATCTCAAATTTTGAATTAATAAGTACTTAAATAAAACTGTCAGCAAAATTGGTACCTGTCTCAATGAATGTGTTATCAAGATGTATATCAGAAATATGCGTATGATTAATTTCTTTTTATGTCCTGTTGTTTCAGCATAGAGAATGCAAACCGGGAGAGACTGAGGCAGAAGAAAATCCGACAACAGACAAAACGTGACCGTGCCGTCCCTTTAGACTTGTAGATACATTTGTACTTGAATGTGCATCTAGTCAACTTCTCTGTTTCCCCAACATAGATATAAGTGCACGTTTTACTTTACTATGCCAATGTAAGTGTGGAGTAAAATTAGCCTAGAGGAAATAAATGGATTGCTATGTGGAAAATGTCATACACTGTACATGTATTTGTCGTGCAGCAGGCTCCCTGCAGTCACTAATAATGCCCATTCTTTCATTCATGACAAGCACTACAAACAAGTCTTTCTTGATAAAAACAGATGTCTTTAATATGTTCATCACATTCTCACAGATAAAAGTCACACTTTGTCCTGAGAGTTCGTTGGCACAATGATCAAACAATACTTGATCAATACACAAAGTTATTATATATTATCAAAATAACGTACATGTATTTTGCAACACTGACAACATAACTAGGAAATATAAACAAAATTACAAAACGTATCCATGTCTCGACCAGCGAGAAACATATCTATAAAGAACTTTGTTACAAAAGCGACTCACTGCCAACACTGAACATAACTGAGCAGCTGACAACATACGAAGGTCTTAACCAACTCGTGTGTGTCATTCGCATATTTACCCAAAGATGTCGCCAAAGAGAGTCTCCAATATTTCCTCGGAAGATTCTTCCGAAGACTCTTCTGAAGATTCTTCAGATTCCTCAGAAGATTCCTCTGAAGATTCTTCAGATTCCTCAGAAGATTCCTCGGAAGATTCCTCAGAAGATTCCTCAGAAGATTCTTCGGAAGATTCTTCAGATTCCTCAGAAGATTCTTCGGAACTGTCTGCGTCGTCCCCATCAGTGTTCTCATCTTCGTCAGAGGCGCCTGTCTCCTCGTCTCCCCCCGCCTCGGTCTGAACTCCGTCCTCGTTCCCATCCCCCGTCTCGGTCTGCTGTCCGTTCTCGTCCCCATCCCCGTTACCCTGGTTACCGCCGTCTTCCTCAGAACTGTCGTCTGTCTGCTCTTGCTCTGTAGAGCTGACGTCTTTGGTCTAGAGGGGAACGACAAAACAAACGTATAAGAATGTTGATTTACTAATATACTTGTACGTAGGTTAATTCATTTGTATCCACTTGTTCTTATGGATAGTTGTACTTGTAGTAGATAGACCTTACGAAAGTCGCTGTATTTTTGTTGTGTCAAGAAGGATAGTATAGTGAGCCAAAGGAAAGAAAATGGTATTTAATTCTTCAGACAAAACGATATCGCTATACAAAAAAGAATATTTCCGACGTTTCTAAGTAGTCAGTTGACGTAGATTTGCGCGGGAAATTCGCCGGGACAAGTACTTACCCCGCAAGGTGCAGGTACGTTCCACGGCCAGTCGCACTGTTGTTGCTCCTCGTCGAAGACGATGTCTCCGGGCGCACAGTTGCGGTGGAACGGTTCAGAGTGACCCTCCACACACTCGAAGTAGCGCTGGCAGTCCTGAAGGTCCTGGTACAGACGACCGAACTCTTTTCCCTCACATGAAAAATCTGGATGAAACGTGCACAAAAAACGCAACGTTATTCAAATCTTACAACTTTTGAATAAACCTACTGGTCTCATAAAAGATGCAAGCCAAGGTAGTCAGACTAAAGAAAATAATGTTAAGTACATGGCATTTTTCCAACTCAACATATTGTAGCAGAAAAACCCTGGCAACGGTCTGAGATCATCAGACGTACTGTGAAATGTACGAACTATTAAAGAATGTTAGACAATGCTTACAGTCCGATCTAGCGCTGCGCCGGTGCTGCCTAGCGGGCATGGAGAGAACTGCAGCTGGCAGGACGGCAAGAAAGACCAAGAGAAGACGGCTTATCATCATTGTTGAAGTCTTGAGAGTTGGGCTGGCTTGACTCTAAGAATCCTTCGATGTCTTGATGGGATCCTGGCAAAGGTTGTCTGTGGACGGAGACTGCGAGTCTGCTTTTATACCTTAGCAGGCAGGTGTTTACGACCTGAGGGTGTAAATGATGTTTGTGCTCAAACGCGTCACGGGGAGAAAAGTACACACAACACAGCGTCATGGCGCGTCACAGTGACGTAACCACCAGTTGTCCTTATCAGGGGAAAAATCAGCACTTTGCATTGATATCAAATTTTGTGGCAAAGTTACAAACTTCCACAATGGCCACATGCTTATATGAGCTACTATAGACCATGCCATATATTTTCACCCAGTGCACCAAAGTTCTTTGGCTAATTTTATAAGTTGCTCGGCACACTAGCTGTCAACTTTGATGACCTTTCACTGACGTATCTGTTACATGCGTGTTTGCCTACCTGTTTCAACCACGTGAGCGAATTGTCAACAAATTAACACACAAAGAAAGCAACATTAACCAACCACTGTCGTCCTCTGAAGCATTGTTACATACCCCCAGCTCGATCTTTTGACCTTTGTTTTACAACACATATAGACTCGCTGGTTGACATCAGCTACCCTTATTTGGCGTCAATTTGACGTCTGACGCACCTTTTCCCTATTTTATCTTCATAGATCACTTCGCTCTGATAAGATAGACCGTACCGTACAGCACTGAAGGCTGGAAAGGATGTTTTGATACATCCTGTGACGGAAAGGCTCGTAGCTAACGTCACTTAAACACGTATGTCTAGATCAATATTGTTGACAGTGCCACATGTAAGCAGTTTTAACTCTTTATGCTGTTTATCAGTAAAGAGCAGGTATGCAGAAAAAACTGATTTTTTCCACCTTTATTGTTTAATAATGTATCCTGTGTATTCACCCAAAAAAGTTCAAAAGTGCGTCGACAGGTTCATCGATCTTGGTGCATTACAAACGCTGGCACAAAAAGGTTACAACTATATCGACTTACATTCCCTTTTACAAGTTTGTAACATTTCCAATGTAATGTCGTTACATCCTGCTAAAGGTCATAGGAATGGCCTGTCCCAGTGAACGATTCCTTCGGTAGGTACATGTAAACGGGACACTTTGTGAGGGCTCAGTAAGTACATAACCATGCAAAATTGTAACTATCATTGCGCAGAGTGTGTATTGCTTTGATAGTATATCTTTGTAGTAACTTATTACGGTCCTTGCACAATACACATACATGTACAATCTGTACCATACAACCATCGATTCCACAAATACATGTAGATCCATATATCGTGTCTTTTCACATTACACAAGTTGTCATGCATTCACATTGGCAGCTGATAAGTGTTGGTTGCACAAATAAACAAGCCTCTCTCCCTTTCATGTACAAAATTAAATCAAAGTGAGTACAAATGAAACCACGGAACATAAAACTAATGATAGAAATAAAACATAAACAGTATATACACACACAATAGTCTCACCTAGAAACTCGATTACTGACCAAACAATACATGATAAAAACGAGGTACACGTGAAAGAGAACACACCAGGGCATTGACAGAAAAAAGTCCACTCACAGCAACAAATAAATATAGGAATCAAAATAGATATTTCTCCCCTTTTGCCCATGCCCACATTGCAATTAGAAAAATACGTATACCCCAAGAAAACATTATACACTTGTATACAATTGTGAATGCATTGTAGTTACATTTGTTCAGCTGCCTACTAGCGATTGCATCAACACACAAGTACATAGCTAATAGAAATGATACCTAGAAGCACTGAAGACGAGGGTATGGCTAAAAGCCGGTTTAAACGTTAACATTGATGACTCTTCAATAATGTCACCAGCTTTATCAACAAACAGCTTTAACCTAGACATACGACTTCACCCCCTCAGTGTATGGAGAGTGGCACTTTTAAGAATCCCAATAATTGATATGTGCACCTCTGATATACTACTGAATGACATGGGTGTATCCACCCAACCATCACTAGGTTCTGCCACTAGCACTAAGCACTGTCACGCCCTGATAAATATATACTTACTCGTACACGCGCTGGCAACCATCCCAACCACCGATATGTGTCCTGTCAACCCAATGTTTTAATGGGATCAAACCAAAGCTAGCTTGCTTTCCTCCCACAGGTTTTCAAACACTTCAGAGATTTCTGTGACCGAGAATTGGAAGCTGGTTGCATCAGACGAAACCTGCATCACTAGTGACCCCATTCGTTCATCGAGCACGGCAAAGTTAGGATGTCTGAAGCCATAAAGTTTCTGTGCGACTTTGAAGGCTTTGTACGCCGCGTCCCTCCCATCCCCAGTCATGCATGCTGCCTCGCCCAACAACATGAACAAGTTTGCGATTTTCTTGTGTTTCCTACCATACTTTGGAAACAGTATAGCAAACGCAGCATGCAGAAGCTCTGCCGTTTCTTTTGTTTCTCGCAGAGATAGGTGCATCTGTGCCAAAGACTTGTAACACAGGCCCAAGTGAGGATGCTCCTCGCTAAAATTTTTACGTAGCAGTGGTTTCATTTTCTCACATTCTCTGATAGCCTTTCTAACCTGTTCCGCCTCTATTGCGCAAGCAGCCACCAATCTTTGTTCGTTTATGACGTTAACAGGGTAGCGGTAACTTATGGGAGATGTCATGCTACGTGCTGTCTGATAACAGTGTAGTGCAGCTTCGCTCTGACCTGTCTCCTCATAGTACCTGCCCAAAAAAGAATAGTACCTCGTCTTTCTGTACTTTGTCATGCGATCGAAAGCTGGCGCTTTTTTGCAAAGCTCAAGTAACTGCCGTGCTTCGTCGAACTTGCCCTGGTCCAGACACGCCCTGGACTCACTCAGCGATACCCCCAAGTACGAGACGCAATCTTTATCACTTACTTGCCTCTGCTTGTTTACGTGGCTCAAGATTTTCTTCGCCAATGAGAACGCCGCACGGGCATTTTGGAGGTTACCCTTCTTTCTCTCAAAGTCGCCGATAGCCCTGTACACCTTAGCCAAGGCGACATCGTCAGGCGTCAGTACAGAGACGTCTAGCTCGTACTTTGTACAAGTCTGAGTCAAACGGAACGCCACTGACACCTGGCCCATGCGGCAGAAACAATAAGCGATGTGAAGCGCAAGATCAACGTCAAGCAGCTCCTCCCTGTCAAGAGACTTGAGATAGTCATAGAATGTCTTGACATGTGGAAGGAGCTCTTTTCCCTTCTGCCAACTATCGTCATCAATGGTATCGTACACATTACCGACACATTGGGCCATGTGCATGAGTGACGTCTGCTTGACTCTGGGTGAAAGATGTTCCCAAATATCCCTTACCTTTGCGGTCAAGTACACCCGATGTTTCTCAACCTTGACAAGGGGTTCTACAACCTCTAGCAGTGTGTTATACATCTCACTGATCGATCCCTTACCATCCCTTGCCCATCTCCTAGCCTGAAGTTAGCAGCTGCTCGATAAAACTACGAGGAAGCTCTACTTCGAGGGGAACAGCAGGCCAGGACTTGGACGACCTTACAGAGGGAGGGCCGGACCTGGAGCTGTGCCTGCAGATGGCGGAGAGCTGGCGGCAGGGAAAGGCGTTTTGTTGCTTTGAAGTCATCACTTCTGGAGCTGAAGAGTCCTGCTTCTGGAGGCGCTGCAAGAATGGAATATGAACTCATGCGACAGAGGCTTAACCATGTACAAAAATGTGCATGTAACATCAATGAAACTTTTTAATTGCGATTTTGCTTTTTTTGTGTCTTTTATACACATTCATAAAATGTACAGGTTGGTTGTACATGACGTAATACATATGTAGTTAGGGAGAACGGAGCAAGTGTCTGCCGGTTTATGAACCTTCCTACAATTGTAAAGCAACTTACCTTCATCGGGTCCATCACCGCTGAGGGGCTTATAAATGCACATGGAGTTCTTACGTCCAATCTGGACATTGCTGCTGTTTAAGATGGTGATGTACGTAGTCTTATGGACCACGGTTGTCCCGCCCGACGCACCCTCATCAGATTCTGGTAAAAAAAGAAGCACATTTCCTGAACATATCATTAGTTATGGGTGACATTTCCTGGCAGGTTTGTTTTTTTTATTCCACCTAATAACATCCAATACAACCAACTGTAAGATTTGCATGTTGTATATGATCCGCAAGGTGGCACTGCAAACAGTCACAGGTCAGAGTTCACAGAGGCGCTCGATAATAAATAAACATCCAGTATTTCCGAAACAAAACATCTCCGTGCCATAATGTCTTAATTAATTGTTAGGAAGGAGATAACCCATCCATGTCAACCCTTAGAAGTAGAACGTTAACGTGATCACACACCTAGGGAAGACTCGTCTTCTGTGCTTGAACCGCCACCCTTGGTGAAAGATGTGCAAAAAATCATGACGTGAATAAAATGAAGTAGCTCAAGCACACAACACAGTCTAATTGATAAGAACTGCAGGTTAGTTTATACAAATCATGTAATATTAGTACTATTTAGTGCATAAACAATGAAACATTCGGGGTCACTACGTGTTTAATTATTTCCGTTGTGTACTGACTGTTGTGGAATAAATAAATAACTCAGGCATCGCTTTTGAAATACAATTGCAAGGTTCAACACTGAAAAAAATTATCCCGAAACATACTTATTCATAAATAGAATTTTGAACTTAAGTGTACCGAAGCTAGCTTTTAACTTAAACAAAGCTATATCAACAAATTTTGTTGTACGTCAAGCTATGGTTCTCAATTTACCTTCGGCTGTCCCCTAAGCTTCTGACGCGTGGTTCCGGTGTGATGACTTTTCTTCCGGCGTTTTTGGTGCGGACTATTTGCTGAACTTGCTGTTGTGTCCTCTTCTGACCTGAGTCTTTTGAAAAGAAGATATATAAAGTCTAGATCTGCCCGAATGGCGTACAAAATACACAGGTTGTGTCAACTATATTCAACCTAGGTTGACTACATGCATGCATGTACAACTACTAGTGATATAGATACAGAGCAAAATTGAAGTGGGAGACATTACGACTTACCTTTGAAGAAATTTTAAGATTACTTACCTCCTGAAGGGGGAACCCTTGTTTTTCCTCCGGCACCCTTGTTGTCCTATGCATGAGATGTCGCCCGACCCGCCATTGTTTCTAGACCCTTCTTCGGCCCACGTCTCGCCCCCAGTCCCAGGCCCTTTTTTCCTCCCGCCCTGACGCGAAGTTTTGGACATCAGCACCCCGGCTGCTTTCCGAAGCTAGTACACTCACCGTTCTAGTACCGTGACTGTTGAAACAACGCTACAGACACCAGAACTGTGCTGATACTAAACACAACCCACTTAGTTTAGGTCTAGAAAAACTAAGACTACGTACTTCCTGATGACCTGGGCAATCCCCCAACTCAAGTCATATGAAACCATTCAATGCGGTGCTAATTCTGAAACGATTCATGTTCAAATCCAGTCATTATCTGACTGTGACAAGTGTCTAAGTTGCTATGCATCGGTATTATAAACTATCATCCTTTAAAATGTAAAGATATGCTACAAATTTGCTGAGAATGTAGCAACAGGCATGACCCCGACACACGACGCCACCTATTATATACACAGTCACGCGCTTTCTGAGTCAGAAGCTAGGAATGTATGACTGAGGGGAATCCCCGATAGGTAAAAGATGGGCGATGTCGGTGTCCACGGTGTGTTCATGGCATCTGCAGTCAGTTCGGTAGCATTCTATGTGTTTCACGTTGCTTTCATAAAACCATGGTTCCTACTCCAAACACAGCAATACCACCGTCGGAAAACTATGTCCCCCTTTTAGACCACAACCACCTGTAAGATTTACATGCTGTGTATGATCCGCCAGGCGGCGCTGCAAACATGCACAGGTCAGAGTTCGCGGAGGCGCTCGATTCAAAAATCAAAGTCGTCGCTACATGGTTGATTTCGACATCATAGACAACAGCAGCGAGCGTTTCGCTACGATTTAGCTCCTATGATTTAGTTCCTTTGTTTGGAAAGCTAGAGAGGGTCGATATAAATGTAGATATGCACCAGAACTTGGCGGAAACTTGGGTGTAGAGTGGCCCGCCCCTCCCCCTTAGTGCAAATCTTGGAAGAGCAAAGGAAGAAAAACGGAAGATCCTTCGTAGCTGTAAGACATGGCACAACGATCAGAACCTCCCGAGGGGTCACTACGGGAACTAGCGGAACAGAAGGAACGAGAATGGCGAGAAATCCAGGAACTTCGAGTCGAGACTTTGGACGCAGCCTACAAACAGAAGGACAAGGAACTGAACGAAGAAAAGGCAAAGTTCCAGAAGCTGAAGGAAGACTTCAAGTACAACTTGAGGCTCCTTGAGGAGAGGGACAAGGAACTGGAGAGGTATGACGCCGTCTTCGCCGAACTGAAGGCAGTGGAGAATGCCAAAAATGCGGAAGTAAGTTCAGCATTGAAAATTCACCTGTGTTGGTAAACAACATCTGTCATGAATTACAAATTAACCCCCCCCCCAATAAAAAACAATTCACCAAATTTTCAACTGTCTTCAGAACTGCACATGAATAGCCCCTCACCTTTGCTTTTTCATGGACCATTTTGTTCAGGAAGTCTAATATATATGATTTAGTCAAGCTTAATGTTAATCAAACTGTTAACTGAGTTACCAGTGACAGTTTGTTTTGTTTTTAAAAACATATTGATATGAAATTCATGATAACCATCAACTGTACTTTACATTATAGTCACATATCAGGGACATTGTATAGGGATATATATTCATGTCTTTGCTTGTGCTTCTTGCGTGTTGTAGCTTGCCTCTGTTTCACACCGTATTGCCAGATGTTCAACAAAAAATTTGAGCTCCAAACCCTGCTCCTCCCATTCCCACACAGATGAGTGAGCTGAAGATCCAGCAGGATGAGCTGAGGACGGCCGTGAGTCGAGAGGAGACGGCTCGAGTAGAGCTACAGAAACATTATCAACACAGGCTCAGGGAACAACAGCATGAACTGGACAAGTTCAGGAGGTCTGGACGAATCTATTGTTCTGAAAGACAGATGATTCAATACTGCTAGGAGTTATGATATTTCCACCATTGTTTTTCTATTATACCGTACTTTGTAGATTATAAAGCAAGGGAGCATAGGAAACAAAATATTTTTGTTGACAGCCAAGTATGGCGCAGGATGCTGTGCTGACTGCAGGCAAATGACTTTAATGCAAGCCATTCACAAAATTAATGCTGAGAATTCGAAGACCTGTAGCAAGTAAGTAGTACTAGTACTTACAATGAACCCCTTGCACTTCAGTAACCTCTGACTGTTCCACAGTTTGAAGGAAGCGGAGGTGAAGAGAGAGCGGGAGGAGTTTGAGAAGTTTAAGCGTGACCTTGAGCGGAGCCTGCAGGAGGTGGAGGCTGACCTTGACACGCAGAAGCGGGAACTCACCACGGGGTTCGACGAGGCGCTACGGAGACGCGAGCACGAGTTCCGTAAACAAGCTGATGAGATGAGCAACACGGTTCTGGCACACGAACTCAAGGTCAGCCATCTCCCTGTCAATCATAATTTAGAGAACACAAATTTTCCATTCTTGTACAAATTCGCTCTATATCTCTTGACTGCCTTTCATGTTTTGTGATCCTTAAATTTTGTAAGAAAAGTATTTAGAAATCACAACTCTACAATTCAGGTAAAATTTCCACACATTAACCCTTGACATCCTAAGCAACTGGATCAGATGGTATTAGGTAAAAAATAGTGTTGTGTTTGTAAGTAGGACTATGTAGAGTTTACAGGGCGTTTTCTCGAAAAAATTGCTTCCCTGGTAACCCTTGCTTCTCCCTGTGTTGCTTGAAGGAAAAAGAGCAGCAAAACTAGTATATCAATGTTTGGAAACATATTCACACAGGTAAAGCTGTTGTCCAAAGAGCTTGAGATGGTTCGTTCAGCCAGTGAGAAGCAGAACACAGAGCTTCAGCACACAGACCAGAACATACAGCAGCTACAGAAGGCCCTCAAGCAGAAAGAGTGGGAACTGCAGGATGTTACAAGCATAAAGAATGCCAGGTATGTTTTATAACCGGGAACAATTATGTACTTGAACAAAAGTTCACAAAAAAGTCAAGATTTAGCTGCTCAAGTCTGGTGAACTGTCCTTTTAAAGAAAGATTCTGATGTTGACTCAAAAGCAACTTTTACCATTCAGTAATTCTAAACTACAATATGCTGAAGAGTTTTGTCCCTGTCCCTACAGGATAGAAGAACTGGAAAAACAGATGAAGCAGGTAGAGGTGAAGTCACAAAGGCTACAGGAGGAGTTTCAGAGAAAGTGAGACAGTCAAACGTTTGCAGTCCTATTTTAACTTTACCTTTCTGACATTACAATCAACCAATCATCTAGAGGCATTATGAACAGATGCATGGTGGCTGTAGACATCTCTTCAGAATAATTTTTTTTTTTCAGACATGCAGACGTGGATAGATATGCCAGGGAGAAGGAGGCAGCTCTTTCTGCTGCAAAGGAGGTTAGTTAAATCCTTAGTCCCCTCATTACCTTCTTGTACAGAGGTTTTGCTTTCAGTGTGTCTGTGTGTTAAACTTTGTTTGTGCAGTTACATGTGTAGCAGCATGTTCTTGAGAAAACGCATAGCTAATTTGGCATAAGATAATCTAAAATAAATCAATAAATGAACAATGCTACATACACTGTGTTTTGTTTCTTTTTTTCCAACAGGCCCACGCAGAAAGAGAAAGGGCCCTAGAAGAATCCTTGAGGGACCTCCAAACCCAACTAGAAACCAAAGATGTGGAGCTCAGGAGACAAGCATGGAATCTGCAAGATGTTATCAAAGACAAAGACATGTTCCTGGAAAAGTATGTATCTGATTTGAAAAAAAAAGCTGCTAGTGTCATACAACACATATTACTGAAAATTGAAACTCCAGAAATGAGGTGTATATGTATATCCTTACTTACCTGTTGCACATTCAGTCAGTTCAGAAAGGTCAAATTGGAGGTCAAAATGGTCTCTCCACAGGCTGGGAGCAAGTGACAGTGGAACTGTAAGACACAACATCAGTGAGAAATTCACAATGATGAATATTTGCAGCAACCCTACGTAGATGCTTCACGAGAGTGAGTGTAAAATCTTTGATTTCTTCTTTTTTGTTTGCAATTTGGTAGGTTCCAGCAGGAGATTTCTGACCTGAAGACCCGAGGTGAGGCCCAGGTAACAGAACTGTCCAGAAACTCTGTAGCACGAGACATGGAGCTACAGGCCCTGAGGGAGCAAACCACCAGTCTGAAGGAAGAACTGTTGACCAGGAAGGAGGATGTGGACAGGTAACTCATCATTAACCCACTAACTAATTAACCAGACTTGTAACTCATCACTTTACCATCAAAGTAACAGTGCTCATGTATATCACAATTAGCAATACAGGTCTGACAAAGTATTGAAAATTATGATTCCATAACCTTCTACCTGCTGTCTAACCTCATAACCAATAGAGAATTGTAGAAAGATTAAAAGTTAAGTTTTATTTTTTTGGCATAGCAAGCCCATTTTAAAGGGTCATGAAAACATTTTTGCAAGATTATGCGTTATACATTATAATTACTGGTTTCACAGAGAACAAATGTACAATGTTTGCTGTACATGGATTTGTTCATTACTGCATAAAAATCATGATAAATCGGACAATCTAATACCAAATTGGCTGTTATTTTGTATTATAGATACAAGAAGGACCTTACGTTAGCCCTGGAGAGAGAGTCGTCCCTGGAGCGGGCTAAAGCCCAGCTGGAGCTGGACTGGCAGAGGAGAGGGGAGGACATGGAGAGACTACAGTACCAGAAATCTGAGGAACTCATACGCAACCTCACGCAGGCTAGGGACGAGGTCAGGCACTGGGAAACTACTCATATCAAACTAATCACTACAGTTTGTTTTGCTTGTACATGTATATTTCAATCATCAGAGTCATGAAAGAAGAGTCAATCATTAAAAATTGACATACAAAAATGTTGTTTTTTATCTTCTCCAGGCTGTTGCAGCAGTAAGAGAGAAGGATCGTGAGTTAGAACAGAGGGAGGACCTGGTCAGGATCCTGACACAGGACAGGGACAGGGCACTGGCCACACTCAGGAGGCATGGACTACAGGTGGACACACACATCCCGGTAATGATAAAGGTGACATTTATGTGAATTTGTGAACATGAAAAACTGAAAAGTGTAATATAATGTGACTACAGAAGATTCATGTCAGATTTGTCAAAGCTGCTGTTAAAAAGTCCATCTGAAAAGTGGATCTCCTTTTCTTTTTTTACAGACGAAAGAAGACTCCCCAGAGCAGACAGACCAGGACCTGTCTGCCTCAGAACAGATCCAGCAGCTTCAGCAGCAGAACCAGAGTCTAAAAACTGTCATTCATCAGATGAGGGAACAGATGGAGCAACTGGGTGGGGAGATGGCACCACCAGCAGCCAATCAGATCCAAGGGGTTGTGTCACATGATCAACATGGACCAATCACTGCAGGTATGTACAATGTCATGATAGGCCAATCAGATCCAAGCGATTGTATCACATTATCAACACGGACCAATCACTGCTGGTGTTTTTAATATCATGATTGTACTACACATTCTCACCACCTTTCATTTGTGTTTATGCTTTAGACTATGTAAAGTCCCTAGAAGCGGAAGTCAGAGTGTTGAAGGCTAAGAACAGACAGCTGGTTCAGGAGTTGGAGGATGTCTCATCAGCAGGGAGACAGGCGGGTGCAGCTGCACCAGGTGCTGGTGTGGAGAAGCCTGTATCAGCTGACAACGCCTACCTCAGGGCACACATCAAGGAACTCAACGACACCATTGGTGAGTACATGTACACGTGTAGGCGTGTTTTTGGCAACACCAAAGGGGTGGAACCTTTGTACTAATGTTTGTTGTCAGCTCCATCAAATGATTCAGAATGTGCATTCCCTAGCAATTGAAAGGAATTCAATTATCCAAGATTACTTAATGACGATCACCATAACATAACTAGATTTTATGCAATATGTATTGTGGATAATGGTACTTGAATGTTGGCAAAAAAATTTATTTTGTTTATTATTTGCTGTTGTTGCAACTGAAGTTTATATTTTGCACCTGGCAGGTGGTTTAAGAGTGGATAAGGTGTCATCCCAGGCTCAGCTGAAGAAACAGCAGGCCAGGATCTCCCATCTGGAGGGCCAACTGGCACAGCTGCAGCAAGAGGTGGGGAGAAAATCACTCTCTATATTACATTTACAGGTTTTCTTCTGTGTGAGTGGCTTTCAGCACCAAGGACAGGTTTGCCTGTGTGTGGATGGCTTTCAGTACCAAGGACAGGTGTGTTTTTCTTTCTGTTGATGGCTTCCAGCACCAAGGACAGGTTTGCCTGTGTGTGATTGGCTTTAAGTACCAAGGACAGATGTGTTTGCCTGAGTGTGAATGGCTTTTAGTGCCATGGACAGAATCTAATGTGGTTGTGTGTGGATGGCTTTCAGTGCCAAGGACAGGTTTGTATTCCCTTGTGTTGATGGCTTTCAGCATCAAGGACAGGTTTGCCTGTGCCTGAATGGCTTTCAGCACCAAGGACAGGTATGTTTGCCTGTGTGTGGATGGCTTTCAGTACCAAAGATATGTTTGCCTATGTGTTTAGTGGCTTTCAAAGCCAAGGACAGATGTGTTTTTGTTGATGGCTTTCAGCACCAAGGACAGGTTTGCCTATGTGTGAGTGGCTTTCAGGACAAGTGTGTTAATTCACAACTACATGTAACTGCAAAACAACTATAACTTTTGTAATCTTAAAACTAATGATCCATTTCTTTCCAGGCGAGGCAGAAGCAGGTTGAGAATGATCAGCTGCAGTACGACCTTGCAGCGCAGTCCAAGCGAGCTGCAGCGGAGACGACGGCCCTCCGCAGCCGCGTGACGGACCTGGAGCTGCAGCTGGCAGAGACCAGGAAGGAGGCAGACGAGTACTACAGGGGAGGGCTGCAGAGGAACCTGGAGGCCACGGCACTCGGGAACCAGGTGTCCTCACTCAAGATTGACCTGGCCTCAGGGAAAGCTACATTAACGGGCCCAGAGCAGGTGAGATATGAATGTGAAATGTGGCAAAAATTTGGTCTATCCAAACCAAAAATGTTAACAACATCAATTACAACATCCAAATCCAGTATTTGAATTTTAGAAAGCGGTGCAATTGGAACCAAATAAAACCATGTGTGATACAGCTAGTTATCACATGGGCTGGAACACCTGTATTGAACATTATTGTGGCCCATGTATAACATAATATAGGATTTATGTCATCCCATGATTCAAAAGTACATAAGGTTTCTGCAGTTTCTCTTTCAAACAATTTGTAGCTGGTGCATTTGATTCACATTGCATGCAAAAGTGTTTTTTTTTAGCTGTTATTCTTTCTCTTGTGACAGTCCCTTCTTGTGAAGGAACTCCAAGATGAAATTCAAAGCCTCAGGCAGCAGCTGTCAGGTGCCGCTGGTCATGTGACCACCAAGCAGCCAATAAGAAGCCAGGGAGGGTCAGAGGTTGTTGAGTTGAGGAGGAAGCTGAAGGGAGCGGCCCAGCACATCGGTCAGCTGGCCAAGGAGCGCCAACAGCTGATGGAACTGGGCAACAGGCTCAGGGCAGAGTTGGCCAGAGCTACCGGTCAGTTGTCTTGACCACCTGGACTTAACTTCTCTTTGTTTTTAAGTTTGCTCTGTGCAAGGCCATATGTACTGCCTCTTGGGACCTCTATTTAACGTCTTATAAAATTAATTTGTCTGGTGCAGGTAATTTTCAATGTTACCTGTACCAATGCAGATATGCAAAAAAGTATTTCAAGCCCTGAATATACATTGTGTATTACCATGTAGGCGGAGGAATGCCATCATCGAATGGTGTACCAGGTGCAGCAGGTGACAGACAGCTGCCATCAGAACGTGCAGCAGGTGTTGCAGGTGCCAGATCACCTGGTGACAGAGACCGGTCCAGGAGGCTCGGAGAGGAGTACAAGAACAAACTGGGGGAGCTGGAGAGACTGCAGTACCAGCTCACTCAGCAGGTGGAGCTGCTAGCCATCTCAGTTTTTAAAAGTTCATGATTTACTTTCGTGGTAGTGTAAGATTTTTGAAAGACTTGCTACCCAGGTAATTCCTCTTGCAATATAGGCATCATTTTTTAGTAGACACCAAACTCTGAAAAATATAATTTCCTAAGACAAATATAACTTTCTAAGACAGTTATAGAGGGTCACTATAAGTTAATGTCCTTGGTTATGGAGAGAGGTCATAGAAATTCAGTAAATGTATTCATTTTTGTTGTGTTTTTACCTCATTAATGAAAATTCTTATGGAGAAGAGCTTATCATAATAACTTTCTCAGTGATGCCTAAGCCCATAACTGTTACAAATTTTGTGCCAAATGGCTACCTCAGCACACTGAAGGTGAAGACAAAATGTATTTCAGGAGCTCCGTGTTGCTAGACAGCAGCTACAGCGGGAGCAGAGAGCAGCGGCCTGGGCTGTGGTGGAGTCTAGTGTGGAGCTGGAGTCAAACGGAGAGACAGCCGTACCTGACCAACCTGCTCACCCATCCAGACCTGTCACTGGTCCTGCACAGTACCCTCCACATCCACCAACAGGTGTCAGTCTTCATAACCGGTCACCTGTTGTGCCTGAATTTCATTGTGCTATCATTTTTGAGTGGCTCAAAATGAATTGGAATGAAAATTCCAGTAAGTTACAGTGATGCTACTGAGTGTAGCCTCAAAAGAAGGCATTCTAAAATGGCCCTTTGGAAAAGAAAAAAATTGCCTGTTTAGAGAAAAGATGTTAAAAATGGTAGAGAGATGCTTCTCATATGCTTCCCTACATCTGTGGTAATCTCATGTTAATACTGTAGGGTGGCTGAGGAGTTTTTGGGGTTTCTAAAAATACTGTTTATGTTAAAGTATGGACCTTAATTTTTTTTAGTAGTACCTTATATTGCAAGATGGTAATATGTGCGAATTAGTATAATGTCACAATGTTGTCAGCAAGAGTTGTAAGGGATTTGTCATGCAGTACCTTTCTTTCTTTGTGTCTGAAAGCTGCTCCTCGTGAGTCTACTCCAGTAGAAGACACAACAGGTGCTCAGCCAAGACCCCCTACCTCCAGCGGAGCTCCCCTGATGATGAGCATGTCCTCCTACAACGACACAGAACTGCAGGATGTGTGGAGACTTCTGGATGCTGGACAGAGCCCCACCTTCTCTACTCCTAGAGAGGCACCCGGTCAGTTCTTCTTTCTATTAACACAATTTGTTGAAGAATCTGTTTTTATATGAGGGCAGTTGGAATGGCAGACTTTAGTGGGGGTTGGGGGTGACCCGGTGAATATATGACAACATTGGTGGCAATATTGTACATTTGTACAGTAGTTGGCAGGCTCTGAATTTTCCTTTTGTGGCCTTATTTCTAACCTTACTGAATTCCAAGTATAACTTAGATTGTATAAAACATGTTATGTATACTGCAAAACAATTGAGGTGATTGTTGTGAGGTGATTCTACATGTTCATGAACCCCCACACTTCCAAATCTGCCCCCTAAGTTTTGACAGTAATTGCCGTAGCTTTGGAAAAGATAATACACAATGTCTTATCTTGATATGCTCCATTTCTCTTTCTCGCCAGGTCCATTGCCACAATCCAGCAGCCTTCCTTCATCACACTACCCTGACAGACTCACTGCCCCATCACATACCACCCACCCAGACCCATTCACTGTAGAAGGCATCAGTGCAGCTCCTGTGCCAAGAGACAGACAGGAGCCTAAGAAGTTATCAAGCAAGGCTTTGGGGAAAGTTCAGAGGGCCTCTTCTAAGAAACCCAGAGTTAGAAACTATAACATAAGAGACAGGGAAGATTTCAGATAGCGATTGATGTACTTTATTTGTAAAGTTTTTATAGAAATTGTAAAAAAAACTCCATGACATATTTAGTGCTTTAAATTTGTAAATCTTATGCATGGTGATGACCACCTGTAAATGGCTTACATCTACAATCCTGCTCATTAGCAAAAGTTAAAAATGATATTCTCCATTTTCTACATACTACCTTTCTCAGCAGTTTGTAAACTTGCACACTCAGTGAGGTAGATTTGTTACTGTATAAATAAAAATATCCCCAAAGTGACAAAAATACAAAGAGTACAAGTTCTTCCATAACTTTTCTACAAATCTCTTTGTCAGACATTCAAACAATTCTTTGACAAATGCCCTCTGTTTATAAGGTGGCCATCTTGCTCCATGGTCCTGCAATACAAGAATGTCATCAAGTTTTTCAAAATAACATCTGATATGTTTCATAAATGCTTTTGAGCATAAAATATTAACTTAGCTTAACTTAACTTAGCTTAAAATACTGCATTAAACTTGGTTACAAAAAATCAGAAAGAATTTAGTACTTTATCTGGCAATCCATGAAAACACCACTTTTCATAGAAACAAGACAACTTCCCTATCATCTATTCAACACTTCCAAACCAAAACACTTTCAATTCTACTCTGTGGACCAATCTACAACACTACGTACATAAAACTACAATCAAAGCTCAGCCTTGGATACTCATGTTGTCAATACCAGAGTATACATCATCTGTTGGTAAATTGGCTGGAAAACTGCAGAAACAGTAGAAAATTAAGTAGTTATTTTCTTTGTCAATAATATAAATCTTCTTTGGAAAGACCTGAGTGAGCATAATAATCAATCCATGCTTTATCAATGGGACATTCGTACATAACATCACAGTTACAGATTGTCACAACATTATGGAGTCCGACGTAATATTAGTAGCTTAATTGTGTTTTGACAATACAGCAGCTTAACAACACCTTTAATATCCAAATTAAGTCATCATTTTCAAAAATGTACATAATATACAATGTCATGTAAAATCTCTGGTGGTATAAACACACCACTACTACTACATAAAGTGTGTAATATTAGGTGGATGCAGCAATATCTTCTGCATGTTACACCTCGATGGGTACAGGTCCTGGAGTAGTGCTGCCAGGACGTGGTGAGTTGAGGGATCGCTGTCGCTTGATGCTCTTCTTCTTGATGTCTGACTCCACTCCACCCGTGTCGTTCTGAAGACGAGCAAATCGCAGGAAAACCTGGCAAGATGGAAAAACATGTTAGCAAAAAAATTCATGTTGGATGTAAAGTTTAAGGCCTTTAAAGTAGCCTTGCAAAACATGCCTTTGCTCAAATCCTACCAACTAAATAAATAGTATCCTATCAAAATAGTACCTGTTCAAGGGTAGACTGACTGAAAGTGTATTCTTCGATCCCAGCATTACTCTTTCCTGTAATACAATCAAAACACAATTATTAGTGCCAAAAGAAAATATCTTAGGTAAAGGTAATGCAATGTGATTGGCCCATTGTCAACCAATCGGGAAGCCTGATGGAAAATGAGTTCATCTGAAAAAACTCTGACTTCCTTACTTCATATTTATGTTTGCCAAGAAGGTTATGTTTAATTGCTAAATGACAATATAACTACCAAAGATAAATTATACAGAACATGCAGAACAAGTATGGCTGTGGCTACATGTTAGATTACAGCAGGTCCTTCTCACCTTCTTCCAAGGCTGTGAAGACAGCTGCCAGTGAGTTGACGTTCTCCTTCGGGATGTTGTAGGTCACCCTGTTACCAATCAGCTCTGCCTCCTCCGCACTGGGAAACAGCTCGTGAACAAATGTGTCCAACTCGTCCAGTCTGGAACAAAGGATCAGAAATTTTGTTAAACATTAAAAAAAAGGGTTGAACAGACATCATAAGGATGTAGTTATGCAAAAATGTGAAATTTGTTAAATATTATAAATCTCTGTATTATCAACATTTACTACCATGGTAGCCACTTTTCAAAACATTTTTGCATCATTACAAATTAATACATTGTGCTATATAATGCCGCTTTAAATTGATCTGCAAAAATGTAATTCATAACCAACTCCCCAAGATAATTTACTCACCTTGCTTCAAGGTCGTTGGCATTCCCGTCCTCCTTGACCTTGACATCTAACATGTAGCCACTGCCGTACTTGGTCTTCAGGTGCTGGGTGGAGCCCAGACATCTGTATGCATGTCAGTCAAAATAAAAAATGAGTGAAAGGAACCTCCATGGATAATTTCATGATATTGGCAGGAGACTGAATAAGAAAGTCCTCTATTCAATAACCCGTGGGCTTTCACATCTGAAGTGATTGTCTGTCACCTTCTTCAGGGTTCTGGTTTGTACTAGGTAAAAAGAATTATTACACTGCTAAGGAAGCCGCTGAAGCCATTAAATGTATGTTTACTTTGCAATAAATAGCTGGAAAATTTTTTTTTCATAGATGGGAGGCCATAGGACATTAATTACTGGTCTATGGCTATTTTGATTTAGCATGTTAATAATTTGAGGAATTACAATGACAAGATATCAATTTTACAAATTTAACGTTATATAAAGTTATAACTTTTGTTTATGAGATCTCTGTGCTGTACACATCCTTCTTTTTCCTTGCTACCCTGGTCATATTCTGTTCCCCATAGAGAAGATGTCATACGAGCTGACCAGTACAGGAACAGTTTCTGTGGATCGAGCGTGGACCTGGACTGACCTGAGCTGACCGTTGACCATGATTCCCACTCGGGAACACAGGGCGTCGGCCTCCTCCATGGAGTGTGTGGTGAGGATGGCTCCTCGGCTGCTGTCATTAAACGCAGAACTGATGGTGTTCCTGATGCACAAGGGGTGTTATTAGTATAGTGTGGCCAGTCTTACTTATTAGTATGCCAGTTTTACTATGTCAGAACAGTGTTCAACCCAGTCTGAAATTTTTTCTGTCATCTCAATTTTGTTTCATGTGACATACATGTACATGTAATGTCAAGCACCATGTACTTTAATAACATCTCTTTACATATCTTTACATGACACTTTTTGTCTGTCATGAGCGGAAAATTTCCGTCAAACCACTGAAAGACAGACACTGGCTAGAACACTGCATCGGAATGCTAGTCTTGACAATAGAGTGCCTAGCCTTACTATTGTATGCTTTTAAGTCTTGCTATCTTTATGTAGATACAAAATACATGTACAGGAAAATCACAATCTTAGTCTGAATCCATGCCACTGCATTTTGACTGGTTTGTGGCCAGTTGTTCTTACCATAAGAAGCGTTTAGCACCAGGGTCCATACCAGTAGACGGTTCATCCATCAGCACAATCTTGGGATTTCCCAACAGGCTGATCAAAAAGCTGACCTGGAGAGTTCAAGACAACAATGTATGTTTCAATAGTGTCACCAACAATGTAATCAGTATTGAGAGTAGTGCATCTTTAAATGCACGTAATGCTATAGATTATATAAAATTTAAGAAATTGATTCCAATTTACCACCTGTTAAAGATGTAAGATTTTTTCTTCATTTCTACATAAAATTTAGTCTCATTATATCTACATTGTTTCTTCTAGAATAGTTGTATATTAACGTATTAGTTTTTTAAATAAATATCCTAACATAGGCAGCAAAATCTACATTCAAATGCTATGATTCAATGCTCACCTTCCTTTTTGTCCCACCAGACAGCTTTGGAGACCTCTTGTCTTGATGTTCTTCAATCTCCATTGCCTCTATGAAACTGTAACATACATCATATTTACAGATCAGCAGTTATCTTTTGTAGTAACTTAGCAATCCTGAAGAGCTGTGAGAATTCATGAAGCCAGCACACAGCAGGGAAATAGTCTGGTGTCAAAGTGGCGTCGAATGACTGAATGGCTAAGGTGATTGGGCACCAGATTGAGAAGTCACAGTTCAATTCTTGCATTTGTGACTGGACATTGTGTACTTGAGAAAGGTACTTGACAAGACTTTCCTCACTTTAGGTGTAAAATGTACCTGACATTGGTTGGGGAGGTAAAAAGCAGTGGAAAGGGAGGCATGGGTGCCACTTTCGAATATCATGCCCAAGACACCGTGGATTACATAGTACCTACTGCCACAATGGCCTCAAAAAGGATTTGGAACTTCCTTTTACTTTTAATGACTGGTGATTTTCAAGCCCTGTTCAATTTGATCTGGTAGATTTTCTGGTGATGAATACACCTAACTACATGTCAGTTTTTATTAAAATTTGTTGGCCTTCCAACGATAAAAAAGTTTCACCAAAGGTTGTTGACAGTTTGCCTGGGTGCCATCCAATTTGTAATGGCAACCCCGAAAAAATCTCTTTTTTCGGGGTTGCCGTTACAAATTGGATGGCACACAGGCTAGTTAACAGTGTGATATACACAACTGACAGTGACTTGAAGAGCTGGCATGATTCATAAGGGTTCACCGATTTACTCACTAATTGACAACAGATTGTAAATCCTCATCGTTTAACCCTTGGATGGTTCCATACAGCTCCAGGTGTTCCCGTAGAGTGGTCAGTGGAAACAAGGGGTCAATCTGCGGACAGTAGCCCATGGCCTGGAAGGCTGAGGACAGACTGGACTGGACATCGTACCCTCCCACCACAATCTGTTCAACATGAGAAATGAGAAAAATTTGTTAGAATACCTGTAGATGTATGCATTGAACTCTGAAAAAAAATATTGCTTATTTTTACATGATAAAAATAATACATCACAATGCTTATGGAATTAACTGCTATTATATTATCAATAGGTAAATACAACAGATATCACATAGAAAATTATTAAACTTGTTACTCACTATTATCATATTTAAAGGAATTTTTATGTTTTGATTTTCTTATATTTATAGTAAAACTACTGCACAATTATATGTGTTGCAATAGTTAATTTATAAAAGTTTAAAATTCAAATGAACCCTCTTGTATTTAACAATAATAATAAAGAATTTATTTTAGTTACTTTTGGGTCAGTAACGTTGATGCCCTAAATCATACTGAGTGTGATCAACACATACCCTTCCTCTGGTTGGTGCCAGTTCACTGGTGATGACGTCCATGGTGGTCGTCTTTCCCGCGCCGTTAGGGCCCAGCAGCCCGAACACTTCTCCCTGCTGTACGGACAGCGACACGTGCTGGACGGCCACCTTCTCCTTCTCCACTTTCTTCCTCCTGCGACAGTCACAGGCCGCTGTGTCTTTGACAAACGTCTTCCTCACGTTCTGTATCACCACTGCTGGGGGCTGCACAGGGAGGATAACACCTTATTGTTAGGTTTTGTTTCTGGTTTAGCCTGTGTTACACAAGCTCTCTCAGCCGGAGGTCAATGACCCCCACCCAAAGGGGGGTGTAATATTTTTTTAGGGTGGCAGCCGCCAGTAGCATGATTTAGTCAGGCTACTTTCTGGTTCAATTTTGAAATTTTTTGGTCAAAATCTTCTACTTGGTATTTCTATTGTCAATTTATTATTACCAGTTTGATTGAACTTTGAAAGTTCTTCTTTTGTCTTTAATTTCTTCTTCGGAAAAAAGTCACTTTTGTCTTAACCTTTAGCATTTTGCTAGCAATTTTTTACTGGTTACAGGGTTAGGCAGCAGCAAGAAGGTTAAGTAAACATTTAGATGGTTTAACTAGAAGGGCAATCAAAGTGATGTTGATTACATCTTATACAATAACTGAGCAATGGGCAGTGTCAAGGAATGGTCACTACTACACGTAACTACTACTTTGCTATAATTAAACTCACATCTACAAGACTGTACTAGATGAGGGATACAGACTTTCTTATCCTTTTAAACTGTATTTCATTTAACATCAAGAACCAAGAATAGCTGTCATAAGCGGTGAATAAGAAACTCCAATACTGTATCCAGACTCTCACCTCAGTGTTAGCTCCTGAATTGTCCAGAAATGTGTCCACTCTCCTCTGTTCATCAAGGACGTCGCTGTCATTTGCGTTCAACTTGTCGTCTGGCTGGATCTTAGAGAATGACTTGTTGGAGTGTCCACTGTCAGTCTGTGACATGGTGGGTTTCTCCGAACCAAATCTGGTGAAGTAACACAGTGTTGAAAGCGGACAATGTACATGAACTATGAAATGTATGCTTGTGCTCAATCTATATCAATCAAATTAGCTGTATCTAACAGCACTCTAAAATGCTACATGTAACAAATAATACTTTCAATGTTACGGAGAATTCACAGTATCATCTGTCCTGTCAGGAGTAATTCTTAATACAATATTTAAACATTTTGGGTGTATTTTGCTATTTACATGTAACCGTAAGGCCCAATAAATATATCATTCCTTATTCACCTGAAGAGATCAGACGGGTCTCCTCCGGTGCTTTTTATCTCCAGATACTGAAGAAAGTAAAACCACCCGATAATCTGCAACGGTAACTGGGGAAAAAATAACAAAACACAATAATAGTTCAACATATCAATATGTTTGATGACTACTTTACAATAGATAGGTTTGCAATGACCTTTAATCTATATATACATAATGTACATGTAGTGTACAAAAAGGCTATGTACCGGTAACTACCTTTACTTTCAAGCAAGTCGGTCTGTATTAATTGTCTACTGTATTTCCAGTTTGTATGCCATAGAGCATAAATGGTGATGTGATGACGTACCACTACATAGCAGATGGAAATGTTGGCTGACCACTCGAAGTAGTCTGCGAAGGCTGCTTGTCCTCCCCCGGTAGTATAGAAAGCAACCCGGTTCACCTGAAGAAAAAAACAGTTAAGTTGCATGGTTGACTGTGCTTGAAGATATGGTGCTTACTTCCTTATACAGTACAATGTATTTCAAGCATGGGTAGGATCCTGAAAGCCAGACAATCTTTGAGGTTATTTCAATGTAAGATTCAGATAAGTTTGCAGCAAAAATTTGGAATTAAACTTTATCAGCCTCTGGGAGGATGTCCAAGAAAAGTACTGTGTTGTGAATAAGAGATGTTACCTACACATTGTTCCAATTAAAATACAGTCACTAAATTTTCGGCTGGCCCAGCCTCCCTCAAAATCATAAAGGACTGATAATTGGATAGAAAAGATATTGACATTTTTGTATTCCAGACCCACATTAGAGACTCCTCAGCAACACAAAAACAGGACAAACCCTTTCGATCCAGTACAGGGCCCCCATGATGGTGTACATTGGGTCGATGATGACAAAGACGTAGTGTAAGGCAGTAGCAGCTGTGGTTGCCTGAGCAAACCCATCCACCGGCCAGATACAGAAGTACGGCAGGATACCAGCCTGGGGATGGGAGAAATACACAATCATGTCAACCATTGTTAACATGCTTTCGTCATATTCAATTCATCACTTATTTTGATATTTCAAACAATTTCAAAAAAGACTTGTGTTTCCTATTTTGATCTCTTGAAAGAATCCTGTTTTCAAAAACAAACCTCATGTAGCACTTTAGACAACACAAGTCTTTTGTTGTAATGCACACAATAGTTTGGCGTTTCTAGGACAGTTCCTTGTCTTATGTTGTCAGAAAGTGGGAATAAAATTATTATCTGATTGGTTTCAAGTCAGGCTGACCGTGAAAGTAAGTCAGCACGCAAAAGATTAACCTTAAGCAATGGCCCAATACTAACTGTCTATCACAATTATCAGTTTGACCAATGATAGCATGCCAATTTGCAGTTTGGCCAATGAGAGAATGGCTTACACGTCTGTCAAACACTGGTATTTGCTTTTCTATGTTTTGATGGAGAAGGGCAGGTTAAGGGATCAGTCTATTCTGCTGCCAGTCAAAATTACACTTAAGTCTTCCTCTAACATAAAAACTCACCATGTTCAACATGCTGGGGAAGGCAGCATCCAGAGTCTCAGCCTTCTCAAACAGGAAGGAGCCACAGTAGGCCACCAGGATTGTCACAGGGACGTACAGTAGCACCACCAACAACAGGGACACCATGGCACCTGGGCTGCTCAGGCTCTCCAACTGAGAAACAAAAACACCCGGTCAGATTTTGGTACAGACGAATTCTCAGATACTATTGGACTTTATTTGATCATGATGCGTATGATCGAAGTTACAGGTACAATGAAAATGTTATGAATATGTGTTGCCAATGTAACTTATACGACAGGATTGTTTAAACTGCAAATTTGAAATGCTGTGAAAACTTCAACCACGAAATTGAGTCACTGCAAAAATAGATTTTTCATTTTTTTGTACAGTTACTGATCATTCAGACTTTGCATGGTTGGGCAAAGGGGTAGCCACACCTCCATTTATAGATAATACCTCAAGGTACAACATTGTAATTCAGAAGCAGTGTAGAAAATGGCTGCCCTATATGTACATGTATGACTGTATGTGCACTGGACATGAACAAATGGTTTTGACTAACTTGTAAGGCAGCCAGCAGGATGAACATGAGAATGACTGGGATCATGAACGTCACCCAGTCATAGATGAACAGAGTTCCCCAGTACACTCTAGACGTCACCCCAGATACACGCAGCTGGGCTCGTCCTTTTACCTGTAATATCAACACAAAAGAAGTGTACAACAGTGTTTCTCTCCACTTTAAGGTTGGAATTCAACATTTCCCACTTTGACAAGTGCAAGTTTTTTTAATATCATATCATTCATAAGTGAAAATACTTGTGTGAAAAGACAGGTGTGATGTACAGTTATGATAACAACTTTGTTGTGTAAATTCATATTAAATATTAATTTTGGAAGTTTTTCTTGCAGATTCTCCAGGAATTCTCTGCAGGGAAATGGTAAAATAGTATTTATCTAACACTTAAATATTACACACAAGGTATTACCATGTAAAAAAAATGTGTAAATTTATTTTTTTTATAGCAAAAATTGGACATAGAATCTCT